TTCAATTACACCTCTTTCTCAGGTTTATTTTATACTAATTTTATTTAATTTAATTAAAATTTGAGTGTTTAAAAATAATATATTAATTTTGATTAGTTGAATCGATAAATCCAATTTAATTTTTAAAATAGTGCTTTTATCTTTTCCTCTTTTACCTTTTCATTTTTTCTAATTTAATTTTTTTATATCAAACATTCACTTTTTTATTTATACATTTTTTTTCTTTATCACTTATTCACGTAGAAATAAAAAATTATTAAATTAAAATACAAAGGAGATATTTTATAATATTTATCTTAAGAAAGAAAGTAAGTAAATTATTATTATTTTTTATCTTATTTGTTATAATTAATTACTTGTTTTAATGTTTTATAATGTTCTATTTTGATATTAAAATATAAAAAATATATTTTTAAATTTAAAAGGAGAACTATAGACTAATTTTTTAAAAAGAAAAAGATAATAAATAATAAAATAAATTATAATTTATCAAATTTAAATTCAATTAATAATATTTAAAACATTATTGAACAATTTAATATACGAAACATTAATCAATTTAGTTGATAATTTTCTTTTAAAATTATAAGGATTAAACATAAAAATTTGATATTGATATTTTAATATATAATTTTAGAAAATAAATTCAAATTTGATATTATTTTGTATTAATTATATATATATATATATATATATATATATATGTATATATAATTTGATTTGCTCATTTGAAATTTCCAGTTTCACTCTTAGGATTTTCATCACATACCCTCCCTCAATTTTTTTTTCATATTTTAATATTGTTAATTCAACTCTAATACTAGTTTAGAAATAAAAAAAATCTAATTCAATCTTAAAAAAATTTAAATGAGATGAGATTTATACTCAATTAATTAATTAATTATATATATAATATATTATTATGTTTCTAATTTGAAATTTATCACACCATTTATTTTACCTAAACAAAATTTCATCACCCCTCCCTTCGAATAAAATTTTTGAAAAAAAAAAAAATCAAATTGACCTAAATGTTCCTATTTTTAACTTATTAGCTTACTGTATTGATCAAATATTTTTTTTAGAATTAGTTTCACAATATTCATTGTACTGAGTTGAGTGATAGGTTGGAGCCAAGAGAGTCATGACATTTTTATTTTTTAAATTTATTTTATACTTATAGTTTTGGTCCATCTTAATAATTTTAAAATATTTAAATTTTATGATTTATTAATATAATTTTAAATTTATTTAATTCATATATAATTATTTTTATTATTTTTTAATCTAGTCATCTAAAATATTAAATTATTTTAAAATAATAAAAATAAAAAATAAGTTTTAAATTTTTTTAATATGTAGATTTCTTCTCTTAAATTAAATATAATAAATAAAAAGAAAGCTGAGGCATAATTCATTTTCTCTCGACTCGTCGCATTTGTCGGCAATAACTCTTGTTTTGTTACCTCTCAAATGTCTCTCTCCGCAATTACATTTTAACCAATTTCACTGTTTGCTTGATTTTACTAACTGTGCTTATTGGGATGTGAGGGCGAATGAGTAATTTACATAATATTTATGATTTTGATTTAATAATTATTAAATATATTTATATATATTTTTAAAATTTTGATTTGTTATTTTTTATATTTAATTTTTATTTATTAATAATATATTATTTATTTCTTCTTCTTGCAACTGGTGTACCTACTGTACTCTCTTATTCTTTATTTATTTTATTAGTCTTTGTTGTTAAGTTCATTATTCTTTATTCAACTTAATTATCGTTCTAACTTCTGTCATCCTTGACACAGGACATAAGGACATTTAAATATATGTAAAGAATTTCGTTGTATAGGATTTGAGGTGTGTGTGACAAATATATTAGCTTTTATGATATTTAGATTTAGGAAAACAATATATTGAATCTGAATTCATGATTTAATAAGATTTTTTAAAATTTATTTTTTAATGTGTTATTATTTTTAATCATATTCTTAATCTAATATTCATATGAATAAAAGTACAATAATTTTAATATGAGAATATAATGAAATAAATTATTGACAATATTTTTTAATAATAATGTTTATGTTTCTTATATATATATAATTTTATATATAGATTAAGATTGGTTTATGATTGTTATTTAATGGGATCTTGGTATATTTTTTAAAATTTTGGATTTATTATAAATATTGTGTATTCTTGTAAAGATTATGATGAATTACAATAGGTTGAATTTGATAAAATAATTCAATGATTTGTAAGTGGTGAACTAACAAAAATTAAAAAGATATTTTAAGAAGTTTTGGGTTTAGAGTGATATTAATCCTTTACGTGAGTTGGACTCATATCTCATTGGTATTGTATTTTTTTAAGTGAATTTTTTCTCAAAATACTTAGTGGTATCAGAGTCAAAAGTTGATTGACAGTTTAAGTGTGATATTTATATCGAAAGTCTTCCAAACAATGAGTTAGTAAATATTGTCTAGTTATGATAGTATATGAAAGGATTACTAGTGTGCTTAAGGGGATGTATAAATGTGGAAGAATTAACACTTGAGGGGAAAATTGTTGAAAAATTTAAGTGCGAGTCTAAGTCCCACATTGAGTAAGAATGAGAAAGTTGTAGAACATACAAGAAAGAAAGATTTATAACTCAATACCTTAAGATTTAAATTGAGAGTGATATCAATTCCTTAGGTGAGTAATTTCTCGAAAGACCTAACAATATTTTCATTATATTTGAAATATAATGAAACTAAATAAAATATTTTTTTCTTTAATTCTTCACTAACTTATAATTGATGGATCATCTTATTTTTTTAATGAATGACATTAAAGTTATCTAAATGTCATTAGTGAAATTGATATTAATTTTACATAGGATAAAAAATTATATAGAATAGTGAACATACTTTGTAAATATAATTTTTAAGATATATTTTAATATTGTTCAACTAATATGTTTTACTAAAATTTTGATTCAAAAAATTAAAAAAAAATATCAATATATAATATATAATTTGTTGAAAGGTATGATATTCATTGATATCCATAATTTTAATTATATCTACATACCAAGTTCTCGGCCTTAGCCTTAAAAAAAGTTTGAATCACAAATATCATAGTAAACATATTTCTTTATGATAAATTTTAATAATTAAATGATAAATTTAATGATTAAATAATGAAACTTTTAATTTTAATAAGCAATATTTTAGTTCATGACTTTATAGAATTAATATTAATAATAAAATTTTAAAATTTATCTTTTTAATTTTAGTGAATAAGAGAAAATATTTTAATTTTTAAATTTAGTATTTTAATGTTGATGTTTCTAACCATCTAAATTTGGAGAAAAAGAAATTCAAATATATTTTTCTTATCTGTTTACTTAATTAGTCTTACTTTTAACTTTTCCAAAATTTATAATTAATATATATATATATATATTTATGAGAAATAATATGGTCATTTATATTAAAAAAGAAATAAAAAAATATTACTTTTATTTAATTATTGATAAATTCAAATATTTATAGAAATAAAGTGTAATATATTAAGTGGATAGAATTTTTTTATATAGTAATAATATTTCGTATTATATATTATTTTGACACTTGCATCCTGAGCACCAAATGATATTTTACTCTTTAATTTATTTTTTTACAAATTGTTTAGATTTTTCACTTTGAATAATTGTTTAATTCATAAAGAATAACAATAAAACAAATCAAACCTTTTTTTATAAATTAAATATTAGCTTTTAATAAGAGAGTTCATATCAAATTTGATATATAAATTAATTTTAATTTAAGATTACATATTAAGACATTCTAAAATGTCACGGTGTCTTTCAATTTAATGTCATATTTAATGTTATTTATTATGACATTGTTGGATTTAGAAAATGTATCTTATCTAAATTTATTAAATTTATTTTATTTAATTATTTTGTTATATATTATCTTATTAATAATTTTATTTTTTATATGTTATTTAATATAAATTATTATCTTTTAAATTATTTTATTTAATATATTTTATATAACCACAATTAAAAAATAAATTTTATCTTATCACTTATTTTTAAATATATTATATTCTTATCTAAAAATTGACTTAAATATTAAAATATCTTTTATAAGATTTTTTTAAAAGAAATTACTTTCAATCATTTTAAAATTAATTTTTTTTTACAGTAATCTCTCTTTTTAAAAGAAGTTATTTTAAATTATCTTAAATTAGCTGTTCAGAATCTGGCTACTGATTTCCTCAGTTACCAAACTCCACCTATTCAATGAAATTATAAATGACTTGGAATATTATTAAATTGTCAACCATCTATAGTTTGAGTTCGATCTATGGTGGGTTTGAGATGATAAGAGTGGTCTGGAGAATGTTTTGGTTTCTATTGTAGAGATAAACACTTCTGTGAAATTTATAACACTAGGATATGTTCGGACAAATTTTCTATAATCACTTTTAGAAGAAAATAAAAAGTAAAAAAGTATAGCTTCTCAATAAATTAAAACTAATTATAACAAACTAATTTCTAAAAAGATCAAATTAAAATTTCTCACTACATAAAAGAATTGCATGGTGATGCAAATTTTCTCTTGCTAGATAAGTTTAAATTGCCAGGCATTACGAGCATTTACAGGTTTACTAACAGACACAAGTGTTTGAACAGTTGAACAGCTTTAAACACTTCTGAAACCAAAGGGTGTAAAAAAATTCAAATTCCAATTTCCCCTCCCCGTGAGAAACACCAAAAGCAAAGTAAATGAAGCAAAAGTACAGATTAATAATTATTTGATTGATTACACTCTTGTATCAACAAGTAGGTGCCTTTCATACAGTAAATAAAACTCTCTAAATTAAGGCATACATTTGAAACTGTTCAGCTATCTTTTCCTAGAATTTTTCTGAAATAACAAGGCATGTTTTTCACATCTACTTTATATTATACATAAAACTTGCAACATGAAAGACTAAGCTCCATTGCTAATGGCTGCCTCGTCGGTCTTCACCCTCCGGTAAAAGAGAACATAGGCAGCAGCAGTGTTAACATCATCCTCACTTATCAGTGATATGTGGCTGTCATCAAAATTGTACCACCTGTTCTCATCTAAAAGCTGCACATTTGAAAAAAATGAATCAGGCTAAGAATGCTTAAAGGAAGAGCATTCTAGGTGCTGAGCCCTAGACAAAAAATCAAGCAACTTCAAAGGATTGAAATTTCTGACTTTACCTTAATATGTGCAGTGTAATGCCCGCTACCCATACTACCATAATGATTTGTAAGGGCATATAGTTCGTACAGTTGGCGGCGAGAGTTGTTTTTGTTGGCTATGTAATTAGTTAAATCAAAATCATGAATGGGAAAGTTAACAAAAGTCTCCAGTTTATGCTTCATTGACCTGCTGTATGAAAACCTCTTCAAATGAATGACCAAAACCTCTGGGAGCCTCCACAAATCAAGCTTCTTGCTTGCTTGTCGTCTCTCTTTGCATTTAGGGCAGTACCTATATTAGATTTAGATAAATATAATATTAGCCACTGTCATTCAAGTATTAGAGAAACTTTCCAAGTAAGATTTCTGCTGAAGTTATACATTTTTGCTTGACGTCAGATTTTTGTTGCAATACAAGATCAAGCAAGAAGAACATGTGAACGATTGAAATACAAAGAGACTAGTATGAAAATTCCTTTATTATTAGGTCGAAATTGCTATGAATACATACATAGCTTGAAAGATGTAACATTAAGAATACAAATAAAAGATGCACACATTCAACTAAAAATAGTGACTCAATTGGGTGTTCTAATGGTCTTATAACTAAAGATTCGTTTAGATTTTTATTAGTTATTTTTGGGTCAAAAAGAGAACCAGATTGTAATGTCAGAGTTAGAACTCATATTATGGTACTTGATATTCAAAAACTTAGAAAAAGTGTTTTTAGAGGGCTTTTAGAACCCCTCTCATAGTTCTGTATTTATATAGATAAAAACTGATACAATAGGGAGATTACATTAAATGCACAGTCCTAGATTACTCCTCAGAACTAGGTGCAGAGATTATCTAACACTCAACCCCCTGTAGAGATTATCTAACACTCAACCTCCTACCTTAGGTATAATGATTACATATATTTTCTAATTTATTCCAACACTCCCCCTCAAGCTGGAGCATACAAGTTGTATGTACCAAGCTTGGAACAAATGAACTCAATCCGAGGTCCCCTTAAGGACTTGGTAAACACATCTGCGAGTTGGTCATTTGATCCAACAAACTCGGTACATATTTCTTTTGTCAACAACTTTTCACGAACAAAGTGACAATCAATTTCTATATGTTTAGTTCTCTCGTGAAATACGGGATTTGATGCAATGTGGAGTGCAGCTTGATTATCACAATACATCTTCATAGTCTGGATATCACAGAAGTTAAGCTCTTGAATGAGCTGTTTTACCCATATAAGTTCACAAGTTAGTGACGCCATTGCCCTATATTCGACTTCAGTTGTCGATCGAGCCACTACATTCCGTTTCTTACTTTTCCATGAAATAATGTTTCCTCCAAGGAAGACACAATATCCAGTGGTAGACCGTCTATCAAGAGGTGAACCTGCCCAATCGCATCACGAGTACTCGAGTGACTCGAATGCTTCCTTTATCTTCATATAACAATCCTTGTCCAGGAGCCTTTTTAAGGTACCTTAGAATGCGAATGATAGCATTCCAATGACCGACACATGGAGTCTGCATGAACCGACTAACCACTCTAACGACGAAAAGATAGATCAGGCCTTGTAATAGTGAGATAAATCAGTTTTCCGACCAGCCTCCTATATCTCTCTGGATCAGAGAATACTTCACCTTCTTCTATTGTTAATTTCTTATTTGGGTCCATAGGACTCTCTACAGGTTTACAGTCAATCATACCTGTTTCTTGTAATATATCAAGAGCATATTTTCTCTGAGAGATTACAACTCCATCTTTTGATTGAGCTACTTCAATGCCCAAGAAGTATTTTAGGCTTCCCAAATCCTTGGTTTGAAAATGTCTGCACAAGTACTCCTTCAGTTGAGATATTCCAACAGTATCATTTCCTGTAATGACTATATCATCAACATATACTATTAAGTAAACACATTTACCCAGAGATGTATGACAATAAAAGACTGAATGATCTGTTTCACTGCGTCTTAGCCCAAATTTTTGAACAATGGAGCTAAATTTTCCAAACCAAGCACGTGGTGATTGCTTGAGGCCATATAGAGAACGATGCAATTTGCATACTAGTTCAGACTCCCCCTGAGCAACAAACCCAGGAGGTTGCTCCATGTAAATTTCGTCCTCAAGATCACCATGTAGGAAGGCATTTTTGATATCTAATTGATGAAGTGGCCGGTGACGAATGGCGGCCATTGCGAAGAATAGACGAATAGTGGTCATCTTGGCCACGGGAGAGAAAGTATCACAATAATCAAGGCCATAAACACGAGTGTACCCTTTTGCAACTAACAGGAGCCTTGAGCCGATCAAGCTGCACCATCGGGGCCGATTTTAACAGACATATACCCAGCGGCAACCAAGCGCCTTTTGCCGGTGGAAGGGGAACGAGCTCCCAAGTAGCATTATGGTCAAGAGCTCGCATTTACGCAATCATGGCTTGTCGCCATCCGGGGTGATCAAGTGCTTCTTCCACATTTCTCGGAATAGCAATAGAAGATACTGAGGATAAAAGGGAACAATAGGAAGGCGACAACCGGTGATAGCTAAGAAAATTATAAATAGGATGTGGGTTTCGAGTGGAACGAGTACCTTTTCTCAAAGCAATGGGCCATCCTGAATCACCTCCACCAGGAGTCATGGTAGGAAGCGATGGAGAAGAATCTAAAGTGGGGGATTCACCCTCGTCTTGGAGAACAGGACTAGCCATCGGGGTCCTATGATTGACAACATCAATTTGAGGGAAGGATGGTTCGGGAAGACTTGGATCACTACGGAGATCGATAGAGACATTGGAAATATTAGACTCAACTACTTGGAATGGGAAGAACCTGCTGTATGACATGAACATCTTGAACGAAGGAGAAAAGTAAGGAGTCTGTTCAAAAAATGTAACATTGGCGGACATGTAGTACTTCTTGGTTTCGGGAGAGTAACACCGATACCCTTTTTGAAGGCGGGAATAGCCCAAGAAGACACATTTGATAGCACGAGCGGAAAGCTTGTCTAACTCGGGAGACATATCATGAACAAAACATACACTGACCAAAAACTCGAGGAGATGTGTGAAAGAGAGGATTATTTGGAAATAGAATGGAGAAAGGGATCTTATTGCGAGAGAGGAAGATGGCATCCTGTTAATAAGAAAACATGCGATTAAGATGGCATCCCCCGAGTGATGGACGGGAATATGAGCACCCAGCAAAAGAGTACGTGCGGTTTCAACCAAATGTCTATTTTTTCTTTTCGCTATACCATTTTGTTGTGGTGTATGAGGACAGGTGGACTGATGCAATATTCCATGTGAACTCAAAACAGTAGAAAAGGTGGATGAGAAGTACTCTTTAGCATTGTCGCTTCTTAAAATTTTGATTACTTGATTGAATTGATTCTTGATTTCATTCAAAAAGGATGTAAAGATGGGTAACAATTCGGAGCGATCTTTCATAAGATAAACCCAAGTACATCGTGAATATTCATCAATGAATGTAACAAAATACCGAAAACCAAAAGATGAGATGCGACTGGGTCCCCAAATATCGGAATGGATAATAGAGAAGCTGGAAGTACACTGTGATTGAGACCGTTTAGGAAAGGTAGATCTAACATGTTTCCCTAGTCGACATGACTCACATTCTAAGGTGCGGAGACCACTAAGTTCGGGACACATTCTTTTTAATTTTGACAAATGAGGATGGCCAAGCCGATCATGTAACATTTTAGGGCTCGGAGTAGCAACACGGGACACACGTGGACGAGGACCAAAAAGGTATAATCCTCCGAGCTTCATATCCTTCTCCAATCTGTCTCCCAGAACCACGCTCCTGTATAACAAAAGATTTGTTATCGAAGGTTATTGAACAATTTAAGGTTTTGGTTAAGCGACTTAAGGAAATCAAATTGAAAGGACAATTAGGAATAAAAAGGACAGATTTTAGGCTTATGGAAGGAGATAAAGAAACTTGGCCCACTCCCTTTGAGGAAGCTTTAGAGCCATGCTGCAAGGGTTATGAAATGTTGTTTTCTTGAAAGGAAATGGTTGAGAACAAGGAGGTATTACCGGATATATGATCGAAGCACCGAGTCAATTACCCATGAATTTTGACCCTCCATAGATTGAGAAATGCAAGCGGTTGATGTGCTTGGCGGTTTGAGAGGTATGTGCCAAGCTATTAGACTTTAACGTAGATACTCTTGGTATTCGTCCTCGGTGAACTTGGAGTTGACGGTTTCGGCCTTGGAGACATTGGCGGTTTTGGGAGGAAAACCATGCAAGGAGTAGCGGTTCTCCTGTGTATGACCCATCCTCTTACGGTAGGTGCATTGGGGACGTCCTCGACCTCCACGTCCTCCTCCTCCGGTGCCACGTCCTCCTCTTCCTCGTGTGGCAACCATGGCGAGATGGTTCTACTAGAGCCGAGCTTCTGAGTCTCGGACATTGGTACACGAATCGGACGTGTGATAAGGGTATCCATGGAAGGGACTTCATAAGTGGTCGAAGTTGATCTACGATATGGTTAAAGTCGGGATGTATTGCGCGAAGGATCATCACCATGTAATACTTGTCAAGCTTCTTTTTCATTTCATCTAAGGAATCGACTTCCAAGAACATCTTGAGTTCTTCCACAGTCGATCGGGCGTCATTCATAAAGGACACCATATCATGATCTGTCATTTTTAGAGATGCCGGCTTATTTGCGGAATCGTAGAGACGTTGAATATCATTGGCATAAATGGTTTGAGCTTTCTTCCAAAAGGAGTGACAAGTTTTGAAGGCTCTAAGCGACATCAAAAGTCTTGGTTCCACCGATTGCCACAATAGAGCACATAGCTGAAAATCTGCTGTTTCCACTGTTCAGCTTTTTCTTAGGCACATGGCTTCAGTCTTTTTCAAGGTGATCGTGATGCCCCGACCGAGAAACCACATTTCGACGGTAGCGAGACCAAGATAGATAATTTTGTCCGTTTAGTTTTTCGGAAGTAATGGAGGGGCTTCCAGAGAATGAAATTGCAGCCATTTCTGATCAAGAGGACAAAGACCAGTGAGGAGGGGGGCGAAAACAGCAAAGAAGTCCGAAAGCCCAAGAGTGATTTTCGCAAGGGTAACTACTGGACTTCACCGAAATGAAGAGGCGGCGCGTGGTGGAGAACGAGCTTCCGGGACCGACGGGGTTGGCTGTCGCACGGCGAGACGATTCAGATCCGGTGGTCGCCGGCGAAAACTGGACGATCGGAGACAGTGGCCGGAGTCGGACGGTGGCCGGCGGCAGACGGTGGCCGGCGGCAGACGGTGGCCGGAGTCGGACAGTGGCCGGCGGCAGACAGCGGCAAAAACAGTGTCGGATACTACAGAAACAGGCAGAGCGGGATCAACCTGGCTCTGATACCAACTTGATATTCAAAAACTGAGAAAAAGTGTTTTTAGAGGGCTTTTAGAACCCCTCTCATAGTTCTGTATTTATATAGATAAAAACTGATACAATAGGGAGATTACATTAAATGCACAGTCCTAGATTACTCCTCAGAACTAGGTGCAGAGATTATCTAACACTCAACCCCCTGCAGAGATTATCTAACACTCAACCTCCTACCTTAGGTATAATGATTACATATATTTTCTAATTTATTCCAACAATGGTATTCAGGGTGTCAACGAAGGAGGAGCTTGCTAAGCAAAAATGCTTTCAAAAGCAATGTACAGTAAAAAGGGAGAAAGAGAAGCAGAGGATTGATAACAAATAGTTAAGGCCTTGTTTCATCGATAAGTGTGTTTTTTAAGTCCTAGGTTTCATTCATGTTTGCTTTTGAGTTAAATTTTTCTCTATCTTCGTAAATTGTAGGGAAGTTATAAGTTATTTCAACAGGCATTTTTAAGCTAAATTATGGGCTGTTTTGCTGTTAAATTTTGATCAATCCAACTTGAATAAAGGCTAAGGGATGCTACAGGGATTAAGCCTATTAGGAGCATATGCTTGAATATGAACAGTACCCACTGGCTGAGTATGTCATGTCCATCACACCTCCGGCCTATTTATTTACTCTTTATCCAAATTTTTAGGACCCATTCTGTCCTTTTTAGATGTGGATCTAGAGAGAGAAACTGTAGGATTAGGGTAGGGTTTCTAGCGAGAGAAACCCAAGACATGTGGAAATCAAGCTTAGGAAACGATCAAGCTTCAAGGATTCAACATCTAGTTCTATTTTGCTATCTTTTGTTTGGATTTTAGGACTTTTTATGTATTATGAACTTAGACAGGATCTGGGTTCCGGATGTTGGACCGTGGGTGTGAATAATGCAAGTTCAGTTTTCAAATTGTGGATGGATTTACTATTAACCAATAGGATAAAAGTTTGACTTTGGGCACTGAAGACTTGGTCTCTATGGTTCAACTCACATAGCGATCGTTAATTCACCCATTTATTATATTTGCATACATAAGCACTTAATGAAGTTCAAAAATCCAATTCCAGAATAAATTTAACATAAAATTTCAGATCTAAGCAATAATAACTAGAAAATATTAAAAGCTAACCCACCCGTTCATGAAAAACACCTAGATCAGAATTCCTCTTAAATAAACTACGTAAACTACTCCACAGGTGACCATGTAAAGGACAGTGACACCTAATGCTAGAAAATTCAATGCCGTGCATCATCAATATCTATCTGCATTTACTCTTAATTCAGTACAAATAATCCTTCAAATAAGAGCATGTAAACTAGTCACAACCAATAGGCTTATTCTCTTCAGTTTGATTCTTTAATTTTAAAAAGTAGTCAACTTTTTAGGAAACACGTAATTAAAACAGATTATTAACAGATCTAGCACACAATAATTAATACATATTCCTTTTGAATGCTTGCTAGGCAAGAGAAAGAAAGATATGATGAAAGAATAGAGTGAGCTGCATGATGAACTAACCACATATCTTCAGGCACCAGAGGTTCCTCACGCAGAAAAGCTTCCAAGCAGGTGTACAAGGAGAGAGGTTCAGTACGAGCTTTCTTGGTTACAGGCCCATATTTTAAAACTTCAGGCAAAGTCTCAATTGGATGTGTATCATACTTCTCCAGAAGCTTCTGAGACCAATCAATATACACTAAAACTTTTGGGGATGATGGTGACAGTTTAACCACTTTCTCCTCTCCCATTGAAAGATCAATGCAAGCATTGTTATCATCCACCAAGAGAAGAGGTAACGTTGGCATTGATGGTGCCTTTGAATTGGTAAAATCCTTATTTAATGAATTTGACACCATGTTGCCAGCACATGCATCATCACAAGTAAGACTGCATTCATCAGATGCTGCTTTTGGGATGCTTGCTTCAGAAGTAGTAGCTTGTTCTACATTGCCACCTCTCCTTTGCAGAGGGGAGAGAATACGATTAACTATTACTTGTATATCACCTCTTGTCACTGTATCATCACATGAAATCAATGAAACAATAGGTGTTCCATACGGTTTCCATCCTGATATGACGTGTGAGTCACTGCTCCTAAGAAAATTACAAACAATATATCAGAAAGCAGTTTAACAAACAACATACAAAACTATGCCCGATTGATGTTTTAAGGCCCAGGTGAGTGAGACATGATACCATGGTCAAGTGACTGCCACTTAAATATTTAATGGATCCGCACCAAACAGACACAGATCAAATCAAATCAAAACTATAATAGTTAAAATACGGCATTGTAGTTACTAACCATGACAGACTGTTTTCCCATAAACTGTAAAGGAAGATTAAGTTATAAGGGGACAAGATTAACATCATTATATGTACTAATATGTCAAAGCACATTCAATTCTTTGGCAAATGTAACTATTGTAAGCATATGACGAAAATTTAAAAATCACATACTGCTCTCGTCGGCGATGTATCAACTGGAGATACTTCGTGTTCTTGTCTATCTTTGGAATCTTGTAAGCAGCTAGCCGCTCATCATCTTTGATAGTAGACAACAAATGAAGAGGATCTTCCAAATATCTATGGATTAAATGATTCCGTATCTGTTAACAGCACATCAATATCACACTCTATTGGAAATGCAATAATTCCAATAAATATATTTAACTTCTATTCTAGTATGGTGCACACCTCCACAAGCAATAGCCTCTCATTGTGCTTCAATGTGCAAGCATTGCTAAGTGCCTGGATGAGATCTTTGACTCGTCCCTGCTTAGGGACAGTTACTGTACAAGAATATGGGAGGGTAGCCCCATCACAAGCAAAAACTGTCACTGTCATGGTCCTACTGGTGGTAGAGGACTGGAGTGGCAGGGAAAGGTACATAAATGGATCAAATGTGACAGAGACTTTATTGCAAACTGGACAAACCAAAGTTGACTTGTATTGTCCCTGTAAAATGAAGAATTATCAGAAACATATTCAAGTTGATGAACTTGATCAGGTAATATATAAAATGTGAATATATATCATGCATAAACAATTATTAATGGATAATCAAGAAAGCAAAGTTGATATCATCGACAAATACTAACATCATTGACAATTTATGGCTACAAGAGCACTGGCTAAGCCATAAATAAAATATGTAGAGCAAAATTTACACTAGTAAGAAAACACCATTCTGTCCCTCATCATCTAATTACCCCTCTCCTTTTTTGTGAAGTGCACTACGCTCAAAAGTAAAAGAATTATCATTGTCATGATAATACTGTAAACCTTTATTCTTATATATATATATATATATATATATATATATATATATATATTTTTTTTTTTTTTTGGTGCCACAAACCTTTATTTTTATGCAAAGTACATTCACCATAATCCCACATCTTTTTCCCTGTAAGTTTCACCCGTCCTAGAGTCACTTTTATCATATCAGAGTTTAGGGTTTAATTGTTATCACTTGTATAAAATGGACTTTGTTATGTGTAGTCCAAACACAATTTTCAGTATCTTTTCCATTTATTTTTTTGTTTCAACATGGTATTAGAGCAATACCATCCACCCCGTCACTATTCCGCTGTTGAGTTCTTCTAAACAAAAATAAATGAAACTCCAATTAGTCATTCCTTCCGTTGTCTCCTATTTTCAGCATGATTTCATTCTTCCATTTTGTCCAAATATCAGTATGACTATCACTTTCTTTGCAAGATGCATTGGCTCCAGCTTGTCCAGATGCACTGGCTCCAACTTTTCCAGATGCACGAGCCCAGGTGTTTCACAATTAATATATTTTCAATAATTTTACCAGTATTTTATGAATAAATGAGCTATTTATAAGCTTCATTATTAAAAAAAAAAAATCTCGATAGGAAAAGAAACAAAAGAAGCATATAATATATAGTTACATATAAGAAATCCCGTACATAATACTAACAAAAACCAAACCTCAATCCCACAATGTGTACATCTACACGCATTGTGTTAGAAAATACAATACTATCTGCTGTCTAGCTTCTAAAAGCTGACTATCTGCATCTACTTCGTACTTCTAGGTAGTAGGTGTACTCATTGTAACTTCTGTTTATCTTTTCCTCTGTAACATCTTTTATTTATATATACATCATTGCCAGCTAAGTGAATACACACTCAAGCTTTCATCTTAATTATCCTTGAGTTTCAATTGTATTGTAAAATAGTATGTATTGAATTAAATCCTTTGCCACTAAAAATGCCAAAGAGATAATTCCGTGATGAAAAAGAATCACAGAAGCCAAAAGGGTCACCTCATCCCAAAACAAACATGTAAATAATTCTCCAAAAATCTGGCAATATTTCCTTTATCAAAGGTGTCAGATAATATAGCACACTGCACAACACCATAGGTGATAGGGTTTTTCCTATTTAAAAAATGAAATGAAATTAAAAAAGAAAATAACTGTCAGACATCTATTGGACAGATGGACCTAAGGTTACCTGCATTTCTCACCACTATTATGACTTCTTACCCAGTCAAAAAGCTAAACATTCTTTCAGAATATCTATAACACAAAAACCTTTCAAAATAATATAGTAGTCCCAAACAGATCCTAATTATACTCCTGTAGGATCAAAACAGTTTATTACTCACTGAAGCAAATAATAAATATTAGGAGCTGGATGAATCATAAACAAACGAAAAGGTGAAATGCAAAAGAAAAAAATTGAGTGAGGGCAAGATTTTATTTAATTTAAAGTTAGTTGATATAGAATCATGAAAAGCTTCTAAAATGTTGATATGTAGACACCTAAGCACACAATTTTCAGAATATTAAGACAGATTATCTGAATGGATAGAATATGAGACCTGAAATCATATCTAGAAGTAACAAAGATATAGTTACAAAAGGATTGATATAGGATTGAGTGACACAAAAAATCCACATTCAGGTTTTAGATTAGCTGCAAACAAATATTCAAGCAGCCTACATCAATTGAATTATCTTGATTACAAAGACACAAATTTCAGTTAGAAGAAATAATATTTACACAGACTGAACAATTTATATTAATATCTATTTCATGACATTCTGTGCAGCGTTTCCAGTTAACCAAGCAAGTTAAAGCTGTTTCTGACAAGCTGATATTAAACAATTAACTGTGTAACACACCATTAAAATTTACTAATTACTCATTTTTGTTACCTGGCATACATCAACAATTATTGAATCATTACGTGAAATATGATTTGCCCAATATTCATCAGCCACTTCTTCATCAGGTCTGCCATCAGCATCTCGCGACTTTATATATGGTTTGTGCTTTACTCGATTCAAATCTTCATGAAGACCATCCAGAAGAAATGCTAAGAGCTCCTGAAAAAAATAATAAAATAAATGTTACCACAGACTACATAGAATTTGTAGGGTAAAATTTCAGTCATTGCACAAACCTGAGAATCATGTTGATTGTGCCCACTGAACTGAGGTGCAAAGCGAACAAGCTTTGTTTTAAAGGGCCGAGGAGCAATTGGTGTTCGCCCAGGTGCCCATAGCTTTCGAAGCAAATCACCAAATGCTAGGGCTAGCTCACCCTACATAGTGGAAACTTTCATTTTGAACAATACTTCATAATTATAACATTAGTTATCACACAGTAGGCTAAAAAGCTCATTACCCAAACAGACCATGACATTGAAGCATGGACAGTAATGCACAAAGAAGTTCAATCTTATTGATGTAGGCATTCAAGAAATATGAAGACAACCCGAGATAATAACCCTCTTCCAAATGGTATCAATGCAGGCCATTGTTTTCATATATGTTACCATAGACTACAAGTCAAATATTCTTAATTTTAATATAAAATATGAAATATATCCGCAAATAATAGTCTCAATAAATAACAGAACAATAGAATATCAAAACAGCATTTTCTTGTCACTTATATGACAGGAATGATATATTTAAAAAGGAACATTCTTTCCCTCAGGTTGAGACTACTTAGACTAGGCTTAATTGCATTAATGGACCTCCTAGTTTTATGGAGGAAATATATTTTCCCTCTAGAATTCAATTTGAACAAATAGGAAGAGGATGCCATTCAAATTAAAACAAATTGGAAGGATCAAAACCTGCCTTCACCCTAAAATTAAGTTTTAGGTATGACAGCTCACCACACTCTGCTACAGGCAAGTCTCCCTTGGAAGTGGTGCATGGTAAGCAGAGGGCAGTTAACTTCTGTGCTTTGATAACAAAATGGTGAAACAAGAGTAGAGTCGATGGCCAAAGAGTTGACAGATCATGATGAGGCCCTAAGGCATTTGAAGTATCATCAACACAGTGCATAATAGTTTTGAATAAGTATACAGAATCTCATTGTAAGCCTGTCATCATACTGAAGGGGATTGGGTCTATGTTAAACCCAGGTCACAGGCAAAATTTGATTCCTCGAAGGATTGATCCTAAGTTGTTCATTAGCAGGCAGCTACTCTGTCTCCTGGAATGGAAGTTGATGACCCCTGAACTGCAAAGCTCAGAGGTGATACCTGCAACTTGCAACTAAAGAGGGAAAAAGGTGCAATTGTAATCCGAACAAGGAGTTACTCATCCTATGAAAATCTCAACCTGTTGAGAAGCTACATGGGAGAAAGTAGTGTCTCTCAAGGAGAGGTTCCCTTTGGCCTTGAGGAAAAGGCTCAAACATCAAGGACCTGTCACAGATTCATCATTGGCGGTAGTGGAATGGTGGGGAGTCAGTTACAGGAGAGAGCAACTGTATTCCGAGTACATATGTGAGTCGGGTTAAATTTTGGAGGGGTATGTGAGTAATGTTTGTAATTGGGAGTCCAAAGTTTGTTCTATAACTTGGGGGAGCCTTAGTTCTCAATTATTTCTTGTATTTCCTTTTTAACGTATAGTAATACAATTTAAATAATTTTGCTGATACGAATTTCCTATTGGAACCTCCGCAGACAAGTGATCAAGAGTTCAATTGATAAAATAAAACCCAAAATCAAGAGAAATCAAAACAGTATTGTTGATAGAAAAAGATGAAAAATATAAAAGGGAAGAGCTTTTTATATGCCTAGAGCAAAGCTCCGCAGAGATGGGATAAATTCTCTCTCTATCGAACCCCTACCATGCATTTGAAAAGGAAATTTCACAAGGAAATTAAGATACATTGAATTTGAATTGCTTACAATTTAAGTTGTTTCATTTTTTGAATGTTGTTTTTGAACAAGACAATTCAAAATTTTCAAATTATAGTTTTCTTTTTTTCCATAAGAGTATTTCAATTATCTCCAAATACAAAAAACTATTTTAATATTAAACAATATTAATATTTAAAATACCAGTCAGCTATATTTTTTGCCCAATGTTGGTCAAGGCTGTTTTTCGGCCAAAATCTGCTAAAATTTTCCAGCTTGAGTCAAAAAAAGGTTTTTCTAGATTCTCATTGGTTGAGGTTATTTTTGGTTGATGTAGGTCACAGTTATTTCAGATAACATCAGTCAAGGTTAATTTTTGAACTTCATTGTTTTGGGTTATTTTTTGGCCAACTTTTCGAATGATGTTGGATGAAAAATTCCTCGCCTAACATTTGCCAAAAGTTTCCCAATCAACATTATAAAAATAAAAAGACTTCGGCCTTGGAAAAAGGAAACAAAAAAAAATTTACAATATCTACCAAAGAGTAACTATAATCCACTACATTTTAAAAGAAAACCTTATAGACATCATTTGAAAAAAACAATGTCAAGTTGGCAATACCGAACCTCAAGGCCGATTGTGGGCAAGGAGGGGACCCCAACCCCATGGTTCGTAGCCAAGTCAACCACATCCACATTGAGACCGACCCTACAACAACTTGGCCTCAACCGAGTCGAGGAGAGAATATGAGAAGAGACATGGATGTGAGAGTAGAATGAATACGAAAGATTTCAAATTCTTACTTTTAAGTAGAATTTGAGATTTTATAATTTTATGTAATCAAATTACTTTGGTAAATTTCTATAATGAAAATTTCTATTAAAAAAATTTATCCAAACAACATATTTTATTTTATCATAAAACATTTCAAATTCTTTATTAAAATGAATTGTCCTTTAAAAGTTTCATCCACAAATACTACTAAGGTTTCTAACAAAATAGATATTATGTAAGAGTCACTTTCCATGTCCTATCCCTTTAGTTATTATCTTTTCTCATCTAACTAACTAGCCACCTTAGCAATTGGAACAAATCCTTTGGTTGGCCAATTTTATGGGCATAGACCCCAATTCAAGATCCTAACACCAATACACATCTAACCCATTCTTCTACACAAATAAGTTGAAATTAAGTATGAGCTACGTAAGCCTACATATCAGCACTTGAAACCCAAAGGACTCTAGTGTGAGGGAGAATTTTAAATACAAAGTCATTCATTTTACCTTCATCCTAGAGTCTAGGTTAAAGGACTACCTCAACCCTACAAAACTGACTTATAAGGGAGGACTTCACATGCTATTGTTAAACCATATCTTTATTCAATGTGAACAAAACACCACCATTAAGACTGCAAATAGGGCTAGCTAGGAGTGAATTAAATTAGCCTTCAAAAATGTTGCAACGCCCAAGGCTTCCCAACATAGAGCGTAGCAAATGCAAGTCACCCTATGGATCTAATTTAACCTTTGATACCATCTTAGATTTTGGACTAAGGGAGTCAATTCAACCACACAAAACCAACTAGTGAAATGAAGGGATACAAACTACCAATTACCAAAGCTCCTAATGTGGGATTTATGGATGTATTAGGGCAAGCCTCCCAATTGAGGGTAAGGGTTAAAAGTGGCTTAAAACCCTTCTTTTTGTTGCAATAGCCAACGTCAATGTTCCAACCTCAAGTCCACTAAGATAGCATCATTGGTTAAACTTCATCTAAGTTATTGTTCACTTTGGAGCTTTATGCTTGTCTATAAATGACGCATCAATGAATCAAGAGGGAAAAGTATATATAAGATACCCTTGACTTCAACTCCTAAGCGATGTAGGATTTATGAGTGTACCGAAACAAGTTTCATAGTTGAGGACTAAGGATAGGAGTTACCTAGAATCCTCATTTTTTTTTTTGCACAGACAACATTAATGTTTCAACCTCAAATCCACTAGGATAACATTTTTTGGATCAATCATCATATCTAAGGTATTATCTACTTTGGAGCTCGATACTTTTGTCACATATTTGTTCTTTCAAAATATCTAAGTGAGTTAAGAGAAAAATGTGTATATAAGCCACACTTACCTTGACTCCTATGTGATGTGAAATTTATGAATGCACTAACAAATTCTGTAAATAATCTTTTACCTCTAAAGCAAATTCTTGTTTTATGTATATCCCTTACAAAAGTATGGAAAGGAAAGGAAACAAGTTCATGCTTACAGCTTTTTAGATGATACTTACAACCATGCCCAATGGATTTTGCCAATTTATCTCTCGATGATAGTCTTCCCTGAAGTACCTAGTGAATTCTGGTGTATGAACAAGGCATTGTATTGCACTATTCATGTAACAGGTATTGCCAAGATTCAGCAACCCAGTCAGACCACCAAATGAACCTCTTGTGGTGACACCACTGGTTCCATAAGGGTTTTCCACATCTCTAACCGGAGAATTTATGTTCATGGATGACGAAAGGTCTGTGTTGTAGCCTCTAGATGCACCTTTGCTAGCAGATAAGCCACCAGCAATTGATAAGCTTGACTTTGGAGGCTCCACAAGAGCTAAATTCGCTTCCCTCAGTGCAGAACCATTTTCTTGAGCAAAACTTGTGTTGTTTGAATTATTGATTACCTCAACAAGAATCTGTATGAATGTTTTCATCAGTCAAAAGGAAAATAGGAGTGATAAATTGAAATGTTTAAGCATGTGCAAGAAGAACATTCATATATAAAACTTAAGTGAAGACTCACGTCTTGGTCCATTTGTAAATTAGCATCATCAAGAGTTTTGTCCATGTCATTCATCAAAGCATGCTTCCGACGAGAATAGTAATCCCAAATACACACCTACAATAGTGGTAGCTATTTTTCACTACTTGCTGAATGTAAAAGAAAAAAAAAAAAAAAAAAAAAAAGCTTTCAAAAACTTAGAATATCAAGAAGGAAACCATGAAGTTTTTACTTGGTCTGGTTGAAGATCAAATATTTCACAAGCTTTTCTGTGAAGCTGTCCGATGGTTTCCTGCCCAAAATGTCTCAACTATCAGGTAGGTATAGCATGTATAACTGAATTTTTCTAGCAAAGGAATGACAAGGATGCCAAAGATATATTTATCAATTATCATGACTCAATACATTCTCACATCATACCTTCTTGCTTATTCTTATAGCAAAACGGTCATTTTTTGGCAACATTAGTAATTGAAGACGCAGAGGATACACCTCTACAGCCAATTCAGTCTGGGAAAGACCTGAACTAATAACTTTCCTTGCCAATGTAGGGCCACCACCATACCTAGTCAAGCAGGGGGAATGTCAAGGAGCACATTAAAGCCCAATTAATGGATTAGTCATCTAGGAGTTTGTGTCAATTTGTAGATGATTCAAAACCACAAAAATCAAGAAAACCAAAAGAAAATTATCAACACAATATGGCACTTATCACATTTTAGATGAACCATAGATGACATGACAAGTATACAATCTCACCATCTAAATAATTGATCCCAGACTTCTTGGGGAAGTAATACATAGTCACGTCCTTCCAGAAGAGTATCATGAATCTCAATACCCATACCAGAGTCCTCGGATACAGCATCATCTATCAAATCAGAATTATCAATACCGGCTGGCCTCTTTAAAGCAGTTGAATTGGCCAAATCACAATGTTCTGATAAGGAAGATCCATCATATGAAGTGTTTGACTGGTCTTGGTTCACATATTCAATCCAATATTGCCACCATCTGCATAAAAACCATCAGAAACGACTCCCTTCTAATTCTGCTTAATTACACGTGTATGAGGGTACTCATTCAAATTAGGCCAGTCAGTCTATATCCACAAAATGAAGATTGAAGTACAAACTACAAAGCATTTCTGCTTCAAGGTTATTCTCACTGGTTAAAAGGGGGGGAAAATCGTCTCTTTGGGCTTCCACCAACGGACATGAAGAGTGGGACTGAAATTTTTATTTTTTTCATTCACAGCTCTTTGTTCTAAGATGTTTTTTATGCGCAAATCTACTTTGGAACAGCGGCTCAACTTTAATTGCTTTTAAATAGTGAAGTAGCTCCTTTCTTTTGGAAGGACTTGTTTCTAGTTCTAGGGAAACACTGGAATGCAAAGCTCATGAAGCGGTTTCTTATGATTTGGAGTATAGGCAGTAAGTAATCATATTATGCGAAAAAGTGCAGTATTTATCACTTCTGTAGTATGTCATACTCATACACCAACAATAGAACACCGCCACCCCAGACACACCTTTATGAAACAAAACAAGCAAGTTTAACAACTAAATGAACTGAATAAAAACAAAGTCGTTGATGTTTGATTTACAACAATAAATTCCAAGTCAAGGCAACAATGCAACCAAGAAATTTTAAGAAGTCTTTGATGCACAATCAGCTACAAACAACTCCTCGACCCAACACCACCTAAGCTCACAAGCGTAACATTGAAGTAGCTCAATAACCCTCCCCCAAGCAAATTAATTTACAGTATTTACTCTTACCCACAAGATATCAAATCATCATAAAAAAATAGGTTCATACAAGACAATAAAACTATACCATTTGTCCAATTTTCAAAATGTAACTTTTTAACAAAAACAAATTAAACAACAAGCTAAGTTCTTCGTTGGAGAATGGTTACAACAATTTTCTTGTAGTAAAATTATCCTTATCCTCCCAAAAGGAGAAGGGGAGCGATTGAGGGTTATATGCAGTTATAATCAAGGAATCATCATTATTCAACAGATTAAACCAATATAAAATTATTGCGATAGTCACTTAAAATTCCACTATAAAGAGCACAGGTCACAAAAATGAGGGCAAAGAAGGGGCAAAAAAGGGTCTAGCAAATTCTGGGCATTCCCATTATCCCAAGAGAAAGAAACGTTGGCAAAATCTAAAACAAAAAAGAAACAGAGAAAGTGTGAACTTTGAGTTTGGGTATGATTTAGGGTACGCAGTTGCAAAAGTGAAGGGAAAAAGAAGGAAGAACCTCTGAGTGATTAAGAAGAAGGTGTCTCCTTCTTTGCTGTTAGCTTGGGCTGCGAGAGCAATGTCTTTGATCATGATTCTCTCCTCATCCGGACTCAGCTCAGAGACGCTGCTGCCACACATCGACACCTCCGTCATCTTCTTCTCTCAACTCAACCCAATTTCCTCTTACTCTTCTCTTTCGCGTCTTAGACAAGCCAGTTTCGGAGAAGACCGACAAAAACAACAAACGGCGAGTCTCGCGCTTATCTCCGCGCCTAACACCGGTTTAGGCGTGGGGGCACACCTCGGTCCTAGGAAGTTTAGCCGTCGAGATGTACCTGGGTACTTTTATCCGGTTTTTTAACCATTTTCTTTATATAAAACCTTCACACAAGTATTTAATAATATATGGTTTATTTAATCTTCCAAATATCGAAAATTAATATAAAAATTATAATATTTTAAATAATTTATCACCTTAATCTCTCTTATAATAAATAATTTATCACCTTAATCTCTCTTATAATAAAAAAAAGCATGGTTTCATCTAATACAAAAATTTGGAATAACAAAACAATAATTCCTACCTTTTAGTTTTATCCCATCCGTTATTTATGTTCGTTCACTTCAACCTTCATCATAATTTTAATTCATCTTACAAAGTATGGTTTCATACTTATTTCACACATAATCAATCATGAGAGGTGGTTTCGGTCAAAAAGGAAAATTATCATTTTATTTGACTCTTTAAAATAAATAATACATTATATACAAAAAGAGATATATGAAATAGTAATGGATTATACGAGAGGCTGAAACTTAAATATTTGGATAATTAGTTTCTTTAAAATTCTATAAATTTTTCGAGGAAGATTTTCTGTTAAACATCACGTTTCATAAATTTTTTTATGTGTAGATTTATTAAAAAATAATGTGGGTTCAACCATTCTGAAAAATAAAAAATCTTTTAGCTTGTGTTTATTTTGAGTAATATATTATTTAAGTAAACAAAAGAGTAAATGTAAATAAATATTTGTTTCAAGTGATATGCATGGATTTCAGGAGTGAGTAGACGAAACTTTCCCAAAAGGATGAAGAGATGAGAAGAGAAATACACGTCAACTTTTGTAATCTTATATAATTATTCTCCATTTTCGGTCTTCATTATTTTCATGATAAAAATGCAAGATTCCTTTCTCACAAATATTCCTAACGAGTATATCCGTCGGTAACATCAAATTATATATCAGTCGGTAAAATTCGTCGAAAATATGCAATTTTCTTATAGTGGAAGGTGTTTATGGATGATTTCACAGTGGTTCCTCATTTTATGATTGTTTGCATAATTTAGCTAAGGTATTAGACAAATGAATTGAAATCAACCTTGTGCTTAATTATGAAAAATGTCATTTTATGATAACTGAGGGTATAGTTTCAGGGTATCTTGTCTCTGAGAGAGAAATATAGGTTGATAAGGCTAAAATTGATGTAATTTCCTCTTTAACTTACCCCGTGCCTTTGTGGGAGGTCATTTCTTTCCTTGAGCATGCAGGTTTTTACAAAAGATTTATCAAAGATTTTAGCAAAAATTGTACTGCCAATGTCTAAGATGCTACAAAAGGACGTTCCCTTTGTGTTTGATAATTTATGCAAAGAAACATTTATAGAATTAAAGAGGAGACTCACCACACCCCTATCATGCTACCACTAGAGGGAGCTCCCTTTTGAATTATTGTGTGATGCTTCTAACTTTGCTTTGGGAGTTGTGTTGTCCCAAAGGGTAGGTAAGTTTCCCCATGTTATTACATATGATTCTAGAACCCTTCATGCAACCTAAGTAAACTATATCACCAAATAAAAGGAGTTATTGGAAATTGTATTTGCTTTGAATAAGTTTGGATCATATTTTCTTGTCTCCAAAATAAATGTCATTACCAATCATGTCGCATTGAAATTCCTGTTAAAGAAGCTTGATGCTAAAACTAGAATGATTAGATGGATGCTTATATGGCAAGAGTTTGACATAGACATAAAAGATAGAAGTGGTGTGTTAAATCAGGTAGCGGATCACTTAGCAAAATTAAAGGGACTATTGATCCCTCACATATATGTGATAACTTTCCTAATGATTATTTATTTTCATTATATTCTATAGACTCTACACCTTAATTTGCAGATATAGTTAATTATTTGGTTTCTTTTGTTTTACCTCCTACTGCGTCTAGATCCCATATTGATAAACTGAAAAGTGATTGTAAATACTATATCTAGGATGACCCATATTTATGGAAAGTAATGACCAGGTTATTCATAGGTGTGTCCCTGACCACGAATTTCAGGACATACTACATTTTTGTCATGATACATATGCAAGATGCCATCTTTGACCATAAAGAACAACTAGGAGAGTATTAAACAATGGTTTTTACTGGTCCACCATCTCAGAGACGCATACAAATTTTTTACCTGCTGTAAAACATGCCAAGGAGCAAAAGGTGCTATTAGTAGGAGAAATGAGATGCCTCAATAACTTATTTTGTTTTGTGAATTTTTGGTTGTTTAAGGCATTGATTTTATAGGCCCTTTTTCCTATTCCTACTGGTTATTCTTACATTTTACTTACTGTAGATTATGTTTATAGATGAGTGGAGGCAAAGGGCACCAAAACAATGATTCCAAAGTAGTTTCAGAATTTATCAGGACTAATATCTTTTGTAGGTTTGGTATGCTTAAAGTTATAATAAGTGATCAGGGAAGCCATTTTTGTAACAAGATCATAGTTGCTTTGTTCCAGAAGTATGGGGTAACACACATGATGGACAAACTGAGGTATTTAATGTTAGAAATGTAGGTTGAGATCAAGAGAGGGGGTGAATTGATCTTTGAAAGATTTTTGCACTTTTAAGAATACATATTATCTATTTCAAAGATTATGAATTCTGATCAAGTTTTGAACCAAGAAAAATAAGCAGTTCTATGTAGAGCACAAGCAAAATAAAAGAGAGTAAAGGTTTAAAGAAAGACACACAAGATTTATATTGGTTCACCCAAACCGCAGGGTTACATACAGTTCTCAACCAAACTCCAGTTGAGTTCTACTAGATTGATTATGTTTCTGATTACAAACCCAAATCACAAAACACCCAATCCACACCAAGAACCAATTATAATTCTTACACCAAACCTTCACCAAGAACCAAGTTTCAGTTCTTGAACCAACCTGCAGCCAAATTTCAGCTACAAAACCAGTGTCTAACACTTCCAGACACCCACAATACAGTAAAGAATTGAAAAGAACTGTCGCCACCGTCAAAAGAGGCGGTTGGAGCGATGCGATGATTTTTGATGACTCGCATTTTTTTTAAAAGTGTGATCATCACCCTTAAGATGTCCGATAATTGAACTATCCTAAAGATGAGGTTTTCATAAATGGGTTCTGGAGTCGCCACCAATATTTTTACCAAAAAATATTGGAAAAGGAAAAGAAGGCAATGTTTTTTAAGAAAAACCAACTTTGGTCATTACAACCAGAGTTAGGTAAAGGAGTTAGTTACGTGTGGGGAAATGATTAGTTTCCCCACGACGCCCCTTTTGGGTTCCCTATGATGGACTATTTTTGTAAAGAAATAAGAACATTAAAACTACGCTTTTACCCTTATTTATTCATTACAAAATTTAAAATATTGACTACATGACCCTTAATAACTAATGCACAGAGATAGTAACTAATAAAAGCGGTAAAATAAAGTAAGGGATATAAAAGAACCTTCGAAGCAAGCTTTTTTATAAAATGTTCTTGAAAATGACGCTTTTTGGCAAACCCCACACTCTATAATGATGTTCACTCTTTTTTCGAAGAACTTTAGAATGTTTTTTAAGAACTCTAAGACTCTGGAAATGCTTCAGAGGGGTCCTAGAAGAGTATTTTCAGGTATCTTCAGTTGGAGAAGTTGTAGAAAACGAGGAGAAGGCCCCCTTTTTATAGAAATTCATGTCTGTCAGGTCGGCACCGTCGTCTCGACTTTCGAGACCACTGTCTCGCCTTTGGCAAGTGGTGAGACCGGTCTCGACCCTTTAGGTGGAATTTTTTATTTTTTGTGTACAAAAACCTTCCTATTCTAATATGGAGCCTATTGATCAATCCTAGGGACCTTTAAGGCCTTGCCCATCTTTGAATGGAAGTCTTCTACACTTTATTTTGAGGTCGGACAAGATTTGGGGTCTACAAGAACAAAGAAAAGAAATTAGAACAATCAAACCCGGATTATGCAGCTCTTGCATAATGAGTTTCTTCACAAGTAAGAATGTAAAAATGCCTCAAGAAAGAACTTTGAAAAACTTCACAAATGTGACACACTTCTTTCTTGAAAAACTTCTCTAATGATTGTTTGATTGATTACTCACAGGTATATTTTAAAATGCTGAGCAATCTAGTTTATATAGAGTTATTTTTCAACTGCTGGTTAATTAATCGGTTAAATTTTTTTTTAATCGATTATTAAATCTTGATTAATTGATTAATTCTTCTTTTAATTGGTTAAAATGTGCTTAATCATTTTTCAAATTTATTTTAACTGATGCGACGATGTTTTAATCGATTAATTCGCATTTTAATCGATTATAATTCTGTCAAACATTTTCTCAAAACTTCATAAGTGATTTTCATTCATGAAAGCTTGATTTAATCGATTAAAATATTTGAAAAAATTTCTTTAAGTTGTTTTAATCAATTAATTCGATGCTATATCGATTAAAATTCTGGCAGAACATTTTTCAAAACTACTCAAGTGATTTTAATCGATTAATTTGAAGGTATATCAGTTAAAATACTGACATAACACTTTTCAAAATATTTCAAGTGGTTTTAATCAATTAATTCGAATTTACATCAATTAAAATACTGACAGAACATTTTTCAAAACTTCTCAAGTGATTTTAATCGATTAATTCGAAGTTATATCAGTTAAAATACTGTCAGGAATGTTTTTAACTTATTTTAATCGATTAACCTTAAAGAGTATCAGTTAAAACTATTTCTTAGGAATATATTAATCGATTACTTCAGTTTTTAACAATTAAAAAAACTTTTAAAGAGACATTTTCAAATTCTTCCAAAATGAATAATCCTCATGTAGCAGAGAGATAGGAATGATTAT